CAATGGCATGATGGCTCAAAGAGTGGCTGGTGATTGGCTGACTGCCAACGATCACCAATCACACTGTGACCATGTCTCCAGTTCGATAGCTATCGAGGGAATCGAATTCGCATAAACTGAAGCTTTTAGCTATGTTTAGATATGTTTATCACCGAAAGGTTTCATGTTTATTACCTGCAGGATAGTTCACAAGTCGCGAAAAGGCAGTAAGTCGTAGACTCTTGAGTGGAGTGCCTGCAGTTCCCCTAGCATGCCTGTCGTGAATTAGATGAATGAGGTTTCTGCATTGATTTCTTTTCTGATCGCATACTTTTCAGGCATGGCCCAAGGCGGAAATCCGTCCTAAATCTGCATCACGGGTTCGAAGAACATCGTATGGCGACCTCATCACCATCGATGAATGCGATCTACCGGTCGTAACACTCTAATTGAATCTCAAGCTGTATATCAACTGCAAAGTGGCGTTCTGTGGCGATTGACTGGTTATGGACATAATGCCCCTCGTGCATTGCTACGTACTGGTTGTTGCTAGCTTTACATTAATTCATTTGAATGCAGTGGTGGCGCTGGCGTGGTAGCATGGTCGTACGCATGCCGCGAGCGGCACTCACTGTCACGATAGTCTTAGACGCCTCTAATGGCCTTGGCAGGAAATGCAAGGCCGGTCAGGTTCAACGGAAACCGACGCGTCACGAGTTTCCTCCTTGCCCTCAAGTAGTGCAGTTCTGCCAGTCTCAGAGTTTGCTCCACTTCCTTAACTCCAGAGTGAGTAACATGGGCACTACGGTTATCGTAAATTGAAGGTACCACTGTAGAAGTTGTCTCGCCCACTCTGAGGATAAACGCTGCGAAGCTCAGTCTGCTAAGTTACACTATCAGCACATTTTGGGGACCAGCTGGGTCCAGTTGTTCTATAACCGCCCCTCCTACCAACGTGTAAGGGATTTTTGCTCGAATGCCTCTTCAAAAAGAGACAAGTGCGCAATGAGAACCAATTCATTGTAAAAGGTATACCCGGTTTGACGCCGCCTCACTTCACCCCAATGATGTAGTTGTGGTGGGGTGGTGCATTGGTCCGGCTGTATTATAGGGATAAGCGTTTCCCACACGGTAGTTCTAAAGCCACTTCATGGAGTAATGTCTATTTGAAGCTGTTTCATTAATTTTTTTTGAATTCTTGTGTGGACATCTTAGTTTCTGAGGATGGGGAGAAACGATTGCGAGCTAGGGGATCTGCCGAGACGGTCCTGCCCCTATTTCCTTGACATGAAAGCAGCACATCTGTAGGCTCTTCTCGTCAATGGAGCTTTCTTTTGCGTTTTTTGCCATTCTTTCGCTTTTCGTTTACTGCCGAACCTTAGAGCCCACAGGCTATCGAACATAGTAATAACGACGGCTACCACGAAATTAAGGGCGGAGGTGGTTGGGCGCACGGTGACAAGGTGCGGCTTACCACGCGCGCGGCCGCTCGGGTTCGAATCCGGAGTCCCGCCCAGGGCCAACCAAGCCTTCTACCCTCCGGGGACGGTGAATTGGTACCAGATTCGTCTGGGAGGATAAAACACTGACTTGTACATCGGCTGGCCACCGCAAGTCATTGTATAGGCCACATCGCATTCAATAACCCACTGCGATTCTGAAATAAACACATATCGCATTCAATAAGCCACTACGATTCTGAATGGAAGTAGAATGCGTGCCGCATCCCACAAAGGGATTGATCAACGGCGAAGACTTTATCCTTTTTATCCTTTTACCACGAAATTTGTCAATGAAGACACAATCCTCGGTCGCGGTTCGAGGTCTTTGCGACCCAAATGCCATTTTTCGAATTTTATTTGACTTATTAGTGAAGGAGAGCGGAAAAAACCGCTAAAAGCGCCTTTATGGGGCCCCAGGATCTGACGAGTATTTCAAAAAGAGATACACTGCGAGAGATCAAAGACAAAGTAAGGAGGAACGGGAAGATGAGCTGGACGACAGGTTTGTCCTACACAAAGCCAAGGCCAGGTTTCACGCGTGTATAGCACAGGATTGCTGGTACACTCCTTATCCCTGAGACGGAGTAGGCGTGGCTTTTGAGCATGGCATAGGACGGGTTTCTCGTGGGATACTTCAATTTGAAACAACTGCTATCTTGTTCTGTGTTAGATGTAGACATGATTACGACTGCTCCAAAATGACAATATCTCACGAAAACCTGGGCCGCCGCCATTTTAAAATCAAGTACGCAGCCACGCCTACCCGATCTCAGGGATTTCGAGTATATATCTCGTCGCCAGATGGAGGAGGCAACTTCTAGGGTGTCGCTCGTTAGGCTGATGACAGCTGCAGTGCGGTCTTCACTCACTGTTGAGCTCGGAAAGTGGGGAACTTCGCATGTTGCGCATCGAGTTACTTGTGCAAAGGAGGCATTTTACAAACCACGTAATCGCAGAATGTGTCTTTAAGTACGGAGCGCCCCAGCCCTTCACTTTTCCTCGCCTACACTATCAGGTGAAGAGGACTCTTCTATGAAAGAAACACACGACCACTGAGGAAGAAGTTGTGAAGGATGCACTGGAAATATGTATCTGTTTGCTGTGCGCATGTGTGCTTCCTTTTCCAATGAGTACCTTTGCATTAGTGGTAATTCTGCCCGTTTTGCTCGTGCATGTGGAGAACGAGTGAAAAAAAATCGGGAGGGGCTGTGTGCACGACTCTTATGTAGACGAACGCATTATCACGTCATGTGCACGAACAATGTGAGAGTCTTCCATACCAGCGACGTGTCCGCTACACAGAACGCTGCCCTTATAAATCATGTCATATTTGCTCACTTGATCCATTTTTTATCTCATGAGTAGTTAGGAAATTTTTGTGATAGTGAAAAAATTGTTGAACATTTTGGGTGGACGTTGAGAATCTGTTCTAGTCATAATCTCTTTATTTATTTATGGAATATTGTTCATAATCACCACGAAGAATTATGATTAAAACTGAGTTTATATGCAGAGTAAAAGTAATAATAAAAGAACAAGCCGTTCAAATCTATAAGTCTGTTGCTGTTTCGAAGTCATGTGGTAACAGGTTTTTAAAAGAAATGCAGTCTGAAAGGCAGCGATACAGTGTAACACTCCGCACAGATAGTAATTTTATTTCTTTTGAAACTCGACACGAAGTTGCGATGAACACTGGTCGGCTAACGTTTCGACAGGGTTGCCTTCTTCAGAGCCTGGAAGATGGATGCCGATTTATGATATATCCAGGTCAAATGCCATACCACGCTACAGACCTTCGAGACCAAAAACTCTGAAGGTTTGATTTCGGACACTAGCATGTCAACTACGCGGAGACTAGACTCCCATATGAAGTTACCCTTCCTACCGGCACCCTGGATACGATCACGGCCGACGAGTGACCATAATAACCATACCAACGCGAGCTGATCTCGTGTTCTTATAAGTACGGTGAGGTACTTGATTTCCCTGTTAATTTCCCTGTCGTCATC